AGATGTGTATAAGAGACAAGTAGAGTAGACATCAAAATAATGATGAGCTGCACGTATGTTCCAAATAAGTATAACATGTGAGTCAAGTACGAAAATAAATGACAGAGGTTGACGTGTGACAGAACATGAAATATATATTATTTAATAGAAAAACGACAGGACGAAATATTTGTTTTTCTATTAAACAATATATATTTTATGTTCTGTCACACGTCGACCTCTGTCATTTATTTTTTAGGTCAAGAAACTGATTAGCGGTGTCAGAAATACTTTAAAATGTAAATATAGTGGTTAAATTTTATGTTTTTTGGGGGTTTTTTTTGGGAGCGTTACAGTAGGAGTACAAGTTACGTATTGTACGAAAAAAATATGCACAGTTAATTTATTTTTTTTCCATCAATAATCATTGTAGCAATTTCTATTTCCATTCTTGTTGTACTTTTCAAATCATAAAACATTTTAGTTAAAAAATATCTTAGTTTTGATGACGTCTAATGTGCATACAGTATCAACAACCATTAGACATGCTGTATGTAGAGTACAATCATTTTGCAACACACAGAAGGTTTAGCTGATACTCGCATCTACAAATCTACACAAAACTCTACAAAATATTATTAAATCCAGGGATCTCAGCGAGCAAGTTGTGTAGTATTTGTTAATCATTATATAATAAAAATATATATAATTTTCTAATTGTTTCATTGAGTGGATATAGCCTATAGAAAAGCAAATGCCCCTGAAATTAGTGTTATTGATAAACCTTCCATGTGTTGCAACAATGATGGTTACACAGTATAGCATGTCTATAGTAGTCAATATTGTAGGCCTATACATTATCAGTCATTCAAAGTAAGATACACATTATCATAAGCTTAATGCTTGTTAAAATGCTTTGTAAATTTAATATAAAGCTGGTGGAGGTCATTGCTATGCTACAATGATTAATGACAGAAAAAAAATCACATAGTACGCTACCTATTTTTTATCCTAGAGTGTGTATCTTGTATAAGCATAAAATTTAAAAATTGACCACTATAATTAATTGTTAAGCTATATCTGACACCACTAATCAATTCCTTGGCCTCAAAAACATATTATAGACACTATTATATTACCAAAATGTGACTTCAGATAAAAAATTTGAGACCTTTTTCACGTATTTTAACCATCGAAAGTGTCATTTCCCTACCTCCCCCCACCCCTTGCCTCAATTTCGTTTTTTGGCCGGCACTGTCCCATTTTTCAACCGATTTTCTTAAAAAAGGTGTCAAAATGTTCAAGACAATAAGCCACTTCATTTAAGATCTGTTCATTTGCTATGTGAAATATCACACTTTTATTGTCCACCACTAATGTAAGTACAGTAATACATCTCGGTCATTATTTAAATAAATTTTAAATGTTGTTATTAAATTTGTATTTTATTTAAAATCGGTACATTTCTCCTGATCAGTGGCATATCTAGGAGTCTGGAAATAGGGGGTGGGGGGAGGGGTTGCTGCTGTCTCTTATACACATCTAGATGTGTATAAGAGACAGCATACATACTCTTCCTAAACAAGATAGCCACACCTCCATGAGGACGTCCAACCAATAACGAGAAGGATGTATCCATAGAGGACACAGCAAAGCTGTCAAAATCACTATGCAGTGATTTTAATAAGGGTAACTCATCATTGCATAACCATGTTTCTTGCAAACAGATAATATCGTACGTTTCACATAATTCAAGTACATCCTTTTTATTCGACTTAAAACCTGTCTCTTATACACATCTAGATGTGTATAAGAGACAGCTGCAGAGTAGATGGGCGAACCATCAGTTGTAAGGCAAGGTTGCTTGTTGACTTCATGTTGGATTGTGGGGTACCCACGGAAAGGGTGCCTCTTTTGATAGAGAGGGTTGGCTGGTGGTTTGGTGTGAAGTTAAGCAACATTCCACAAAAGTCGACAGTTGAGTGTATTGCTAGAGAACTCGGCATTGTCAGCGACCTGATAGTGGCTGAAATTGCATTGAAATCACCTGACTCCACAATAGGCTTCGATGCAACCACTCAAGAAGGAGTTCATGTGAATGAAATCCACATAAGCACTTCCGAAAAAGAATCAAAAGTTGTAGCGCTTGATGAGTTACCGGGGGGAACAGCAATGGACTACACCAGTCATATCACCAGGTCAATCAATCGATTAGCACAAATCCATAGTCTGGTGCATGAGTCCAGCACAGACGAAGTTGAGAAGAAAATTCAAAACAATATCCGTAATTCCATGACAGACAGGTGCGCTGTAAATAGTGCAACAATTAGAGCAGTTGAAGATAATTGGCAAACGAACATCCAGCAATTAAACTGCAATCTACATCCACTTGAAACGATTACTAAGGAATGTAAGAAGGTTCTAAAACAACATGAAAAAGAAAATAAATTTCCAGCCGGACAGTGTTACGGCACAGATTGTTTCGCTGGAAACCTTGTGCTAAAGTCAAACCAGCTCAGATATAAAGATTCCACTGGTGATCCCAGACTCTTTAAGAGTAGATTGCAGAGTGCAAATCTCCCTGGCAATCTG